TTTCATAAAAATTGATATCGGTGTTTTTTTTCAATGATGAGTAGGTAGATCTTGACGACGACAGCATCATCCAACTGGTAGGTAGTTAAGTTAGGCAGATCAGCTAGGCCAGTCACTGACTGGCAGTCAGTGATTCCCATAGAGGATTTTTGCGGGCGCTGGAAACCTACAGGGGGAAGGTGAGGGACCCAGAAACAATTGGGCGCGTTGAAATAATTTAGGGGGCGATAGGTAATACGTAAAATTATTCCATAATTATTTTAAAATCACTAATATTAAAATTATTTCACAACATAACATTCATGTATTAGTTGTATTTGCTGTTGTTATAACTGAAAAAAATTAGTGTCTTCAACTGTTACAGGTAAGGTACCACAAACCTCAGATGAATCGTATAACCATTTTTTAAGGGGGGAAACCATCCAATGCGACCTCCCGCCTGGGTGAAGCGGGAAGGAGTATCAGACTCTTACTGACTGAAACCACCCAGTTCCTAATCCTGCTCGTTGACGTGCGCGTGGAACATAACGCGCCATGCGCTCGGGTCTAGGTCTAGTCGTGCGTCTACCGGGAGGTACGGGAGGCCGGAGATTGTCCCTCAATCCTCGACTCCCAAAATGTGTCCCGCGATGGCTGGGGCATGAGAAGATTCGTGCCCGCCTCATCCTTAGCTAGCATGACTGCTTCGCAGAAGAAGGTGGCATCTCAGTCCCCTCACTCCGTATCATGGCTTGAATTAGAGCGCAACGCGAGAGGTCACCGTCACTGATCATATCTCTAAGGATATCCCGGCAGTGCTCAGCTTACGCAGGGCACACCGCCACCGCATGCTCCACCGTGTCCTCCGGGCGGTCCTCGCAGTGATGACACTCGGGCGTTTCCTGCTGCCCAATCAGACACAGGTACCTCCCGAAACTCCCATGTCCGGTGAGGACCTGCGTCAGGCGGTAGGTGAGGACGCCGTAGCGTCTCTCAAGCCACTCCTCAAAGAGGGGTCTTACCGCTGCAATGGCAGCGAGCCCAGCCCTCGGTTGCGACAGTCGCTGCTGCCATTCCGCCATGAGAGGTACTTTCACCCTAGCGACGCGCCTTAGCGCGCAAACTGAAAACACGCGCGAGCAACTTCGTTTCCAGATTCTACGGCGCTAATCCGGCATGGTCCTCTGGGACGTGAGCAACGCCCAACCTGACCGCTGCATCAGGTTTGGCGCCCTTACAGGGACATCCTAGAGGACCATGGACCGCACTATCCTCGCGCATAACCTCCACCAGGTGGCGTTTGTCCCACCGAGGTCCATTTCCAGTTGCCGGATCCTTGTAACGACTGTCACAACCGCTCTCGCGATTACGTTGATCGCTGCCTGGTGCAACCTCCCATGCGCTAGCAGCAACGTGTCGTCAACGTAGATGACACCGTACGGGAGGTCAGCACCCAGTCGTAGCCTGGTGGTTCTGGTGGTTCTACAGCTTTGTAAGCACCGCGGTTCCGACTCAAAGGAGGAGTACAGTCTCTTTCACCTCACCCAATGCGAGAGAGAGAAGTCATTCGATGATTCTACCTCCCCCCCACCCCTCAATGTGTACTGAGGCCTTAGTACGAGTTTGTTTTACGCTTAAAGTATTCGAAACGAGTACGCGTTCGGCACTCTGATTGGCCGGCGCCAATAAACCAACCAATCAGAGCCCCGAACGCGTACTCGTTACGATTACTTTAAACGTAAAAAAAACTCGTACTAAGACGTCTGTTAATTGCTGAGAACGAATTAACTTTGAGAACCTCTGAGCTAGGCTAATTTGTAACTGTCAATTCGAACTTTCGAAGTGTGCTCGATCGCGTTTTCGCCTGTCATTGGTCGAGATTGTCTGATTATTTTCACAACCAATGACATGGCGGACAGAGTTCAATTCGCTCTTTCGCATTGAAAGTTACAGAATAGCCTAGCAGATCTGAAAGTTTATTCTGAATAATTGATTCAGCTTTATGAACCCATTTAAACCCGAAATAGGAACATTCGCGTTTGATTTTTGATTCATCAGTTTCATAGTAGGTAGGTACTCAGTTTCAATGTCATAATATGTTACCTACCTTTACGTTAAATGTAGACAATAACTTTTAGTTAAGTAAAGACAAGGCTTCTAGTAGATAGCCTCGGTATATTCAATATCGTATATACAGCGTCAATGCGTTCCAAAACTCAACGATAAAATATAATGATGATATGGCGATACGATAAACTACTTTATGACTGCTCTGGAAAAAAAAATATGTCCAACTAGCTCCTGCCAGCGGCTTCGTCCACGTTCCAATGAGATAAAAGTTGCCTATGTGTTATTCCAGACCATAATCAGTTTTGACGTTAAACACAAACTTTCGCATTTATATATCGCAATATCTATCGAATAAGTTACATAGGAAACACTGATAACCCTCGAAATTGTAAAATCTTCGTGACTCTCTTTTTCGTATTATCAATACGAAAAAGAGAGTCACGAAGATTTACCCGAATAGAGCTACCCAGTGCTGCTATGCACTACTAGTTCCATCCCTACAAATTTCAGAATCCGGGTGGTTTTTGAAACAATACCTAATTACATATTTTTACTTTCAGTCTACATTTACTCATCATGGTGAAAAAAAATTATGGTCTGCATTTTGCCGTGCTGTTTCATGCCGTGTTGTATAATTTTTTGGCATATCTAACCCAGATTCTAAAATAATATAGGTAATACTTAGGTATAGTAACAAAATAGCCTTAAAAACAAGTGTATGCTTACGTACTTAATAAATCATCAGTAATTTATTGCTTTTTTTATTTACTTCAAACTACAATTATGCCTTTATTAGAAGTAAGTATCTAAATTCTTATAATATACATTCAGTCAAAAAAGTATCGGGAATGGATGATTTGTTTATGGTTCCAAATTCATTTTTTGTAGTTGTTAGATTGGCACAACTGTTTTCCATTTTGGCGCGGAGTTTGAGTTGCATCTATTATTTTTAATAGATACAGTGCTGGTTTTAGTAATATCATATATAGTGTGTATAGCGAATTTCATAATGGACAAAAATATCGAACAAAGAGTTTGTCTTAAATTTTGCATCGCCAATGGAATTTCGTGTTCGGAGTCACTAAAAATGTTACAGTGAATCGACTTACGGTGAATCAACTTTATTAAAAACTCGTGCTTATGAGTGGTTCAAAGCGTTCAAAAGCGATCGAGATGTGATGGAAGATTTGCCTCGCTCTGGTAGGCCGTCAACGTCTGCAACTGAAGTTAACATCGCAAAAGTGAAGGATATAGTGACTGAAAATCCCCATTCAACTTTGAGAGAGATAGCCGCCGAACTTTCTGTATCTCACGAGTCGATCCGTACCATTTTAACTAATCATTTGGGTATGAAACATGTTGCTGCTCGGCTAGTCCCAAAAGAAATAAATTTTCTCCAAAAATTCAATCGCATGAAAGTCGCTGAGGACATCCTAGAACCAGTCAGTTCGGACCTAACATTCATGAAACGCATTGTTACTAGTAACGAGACGTGGGTTTACGAGTTTGACATGCAAACTAGTCAACATGCTTCGGAGTTTCGCCTTCCAACTGAACCGAAACCGAAAAAACCACGCCAAAGTCGATCAAAAGTCAAAGTCATGTTGACTGTTTTCTTTGACTATCGCGGTGTTGTGCACTCTGAATTCTTACCGGAAGGTCGAACGGCAAATAAAGAATATTATTTGAGCGTTATGCGGCGTTTAAGAGAGCAAATTCGACGAAAAAGGCCAGATTTGTGGAAAGAAAATTCTTGGATCTTGCACCACGACAATGCGCCTTCGCATAAGGCTATCATTGTGAACGAATTTTTGACCAAACACTCAACAAATACCATCCAGCAACCACCATATTCACCAGATATGCCTGCTGACTTTTTTATTTTTCCTAAACTGAAATTACCACTTCGTGGTGCCCGTTTTCAACCGATAGAAGACATAAAGGAGATTTCGCGGCGAGAACTGAATTCAATTCCGGAAGCAGCGTTTAAAACATGTTTTGATAAATGGATTATTCGCAAGTGTACCGTTTCTAAAAGAGCATACTTTAAAGGTGATAAAATAAATTTGGATGAATAACAGACATTTTGTGTATTATTGATCTTTTCCCGGTACTTTCTTGACAGAGCTCCAAAGTCACATAAATAATATAGAACTTTAAGACTAGGGTATCTTACCACACTAGTCTACAATGTGTTTTAAAATAATACTTTTCTGCTTTGGACTTACAACTCATCGAAAAACTTATGATCAAGATAATGTGAAAGATAAAAGAAGAAAAATAACGAGGGTGCTCGCACTATCATAATTGTCACGGCAATTTAAAGACCTTGCCTCTGGATCAACACCACACTGCAGCATACCAACGACTGAGCTGAGATACTTACCTAAATGGAAGAAATTATGATCTAAGAGAAAGCCTCTATGCCGAAGTGAAGAACACGAGAGACTTTTCCTTTGAATATTAAAATATTATTTTAATGTTAATCACTGATTAGGTACCTTCGTAAATTGGCCCATCGCTTATTGCCGGCTTTACGTTGATTTCTACGGCACTCTGTAAGTATTAACCAGTAGTACCTTTCTTCTTTTTTAACTGTTAGGAAATACGGCTTTAATATAGGTAACATATATAAATATATTACTTACCTATAAAGATAAGTGAAATTATAAAGGAAGAAAAATATATAGAAATATATTATAAAGGAAGAAAATGCAATACATTCTTGAAAAAGAATTTCTAGGTATAGGTAGTTTATAGTTACTACCTGTGCATGTTACAATATCGAAGAAAATCGGTAGACACCAAGAGTAAAAACAATCAATAGTTATATATTTTTTCTTTCCAAATCTAATATTTCGAGAAAGAAAATTAACGCTAAAGTTAATTTAATCAAATATGCGCTTACGTATGCCACTTTAAATTAAAATATATAACAAAACATTACTTACAACCATCGAATCGCCTTAGTTGATTTTGGCAAAAACACAAAGAACAAAATAAACGCAATGTAACAACGCATCACAAAATAAAATCGATCACTGCATTGCAAATACACGAACGAATCGTTAAAAATAAATGAATAAAAAGAAAATAAAACGCGCGAAAATTTTTGGCGGGAAAATTTCGAGATTCTCGGATAGTCCGACGGGCAGCGAGCGGAGCGAGATGAGCGCTCTCGAGCTGCGATTGCGACAGAATGCACGACTGCGACCAGCTCTGGCGTTCTCGGCCAGTGGTCAGGCAGACAAAACGCGCCGCCGCCGCAACCGGCAAGAGCCGCCAAAGATTAAAGATTTTTCCAGAAAGGACACATTTTAAAATACCTAATTATTATACACTTCGGTAACCTCCTCCTATTAAGCCCTGGAATGACTGGGCCTAAATAATAATTTGGTATCAAAAATAAAAAAATAGGAAGCCCTCAAGCGGAGAATCTTTTAACTCAAAACGATATTGGTGAAAAAGGCTATCGATAAAAAATTTGATGATATCAGCCTGTTCAGAAGCTACGATGCTCTTATTATTTTCGCGTAAGGGGTAATAAACGCCACAATTTGATTGATAGCTACTGCCTCGTTGGCCGAGTGGTCGTAAGTGCGACTGCCGGGCAAAGGGTATCAGGTTAGATTTCCGGGTCGGGCAAACTATTACTGGGTTTTTTTTTTAAATCTCAATAGTAGCACGGAGTCTGGAATTATGCCCGGTATATGGCAATAGGCTCACCCCCTATTACATGGGACTCATAACATAAATAGTGAAAAGTGGGTGTTACATTGTACAGTGGCATAATGTGCACCTCTGCCTACCCCTTTGGGCATAAAAGGCGTGATGTTATGTTATGTCTACTGGTAGCGAATTTGACCTGTTTTATAAAGTTTTGCATTCAATTTTTTCCGCGCTGCGATATAACAATAAAGGTAAAAGTTTCATGAGATACTTTCCACACTACAGATACTTTGTAACCATAGTTCGTTGTCGTTTCATTGATACTTAAACAACAATTTAATACTTACATCTTTGAAACTCATCATTTACATATTCAGTACTCAATGAAAGCAGGTTGTCATAGGCACAAATATGCAACCGGTTCACATTCCCCTGACTGGCGCGCGGCGAATCGGGCGGGCGGGCGGACACGCGCTCCCCACGCAAGCGGTACAACCCACTTATCAATTCAGTCGAGTGGGCATTCATTCATTGTGAAGCATTGTGCCTATTATGCGCGGATTCGGTGCTTATTTACCCGTTCACATGCCACTAGAGTAGAGTAGTAAAGTACACTGTGGCTACATATCCCTGTAAGCCCTTTTATTTTTTATAACTATATTCACTTAGCCTTCCTCATACCATATCTTTTCCACTATGAATGAAACCCTAATAAAACTACTTACTGTTCTTTTACATTACATTACCTAAATGGGATATTTAAACGAAGGATCTTTAAATCCCTTTCGTTTAATAAAATTATATTAAGGCCATTGTTTAAATCATCTGGATAGGTAGCCATATTACGTTAGATAGACCACTTTTTGCTAGTTGATACGATTGCATGTAAGAGAGGTGCTTTAATTTAAAATTTGAGTTGGATCCGTTACCTCTAGTGTTACAGTCGTATCTGCGACAACTTGATCGAGATACACATGTAAATAAAACTGTAATTTTAATTAATTATATATTTAGGTATATCAACTGTTTTACATAAGTATGTCGGCGAGCAGTGAACAAACAACTGACCGACGTCACTTCAACCCCACCACCGAGTGATATATAAAGCAGCGCAAGCGCAAGCTCGAGTCAGTCGTTCGTCGATCGTTGCCCAGTTCACACGTTACGCAATCGCTGAGTAATTTTATTGTTGGTTTTATTTGAGTGTTTCCTTTATATAATCAGTGCTGAATTATTCAATTATTATAAATAAAAATTAATGTGAAAGTAAGTTCATTTAATCGAAATAAACTAAGTGATTGTGTGAAGCCCTTTGTTTTATTTTCAAATAATGTCGGACCCTGATCCTACATCAGAAGTGGGATGGACCGGGATTATTGAAAATGTTAAAATTATCGGAGCCGGTTCGTGAAGAACTACCTACATGCAAATGCGACGAAGAAGATAGTGCTGCAAGATTGGAAGTGCTTAGCTATACATAGCTAGCTA